AAAGTTTCGGGTACAAAGGATCGGTGTCCGCCTCTTATCTGACCAGGATATAGACCCACACTTGTCTGGTAAATCCGTAACTTTTTATTATGACTTTTACATGTTGCTAAAGCTTTGAAGTCTATCCTCACACCGGTTCTCAATCGCAGGAGTACGGCCTCTTCATCTGCCAAGGTTGAGGTAACCTGTTGATGCACATATGATTTTCCATAAGGTTGAGGACACCTCTGATCAGTGTTTTAAAAACCAGACCAGACCGGCCGGTTTAACCAGGTGGTTGGCCGACCGGTTGTTTTCCCCTAGCCTTTTTTAATTTTGAGACTTGTAGTTGTATGATTTTTTTTATCTATTTATTTAGTTTTAAAACATGTTTTTAATTTATATTTAGTTTTGTGACTTATTTTTTATTTTATTATATGAATTTATATATTTATTAAGTTTAATATAAACTGAAAATTGCTATAAAAGGTTAGGAATGGTAAGGAAAAAAATGTTAAAACAGCAGCAGAATGTTGCTAGAACAATCCAGCACGCCATTTTCATTTGACCTGGTTGGTTGACTGGTTGAATTGGTCAAACTGATCAAATTGGGAACCGATGAAGAAATCAGTTCTATCACCAGTTCGGTTTCAAAACATGCCCTCTGATGATGAAGATTATATTGCGTATAAATTTTAGAACCCAGGCATGCTTCAGGTTGCCTCTTCCATGTTGCCTCTCTAGAATTCTCTGACCCGGTGTTGAAAAATGATTTAAAATAATTATTTTATAAATTCATCTCGTTGTCCTCACAATCTCTTGAGGTCGAAAGAATAGTAAGTGTGGAGGAAACAAATAGATTGAGCAGCTGTGGATGAACCAAAACAGCAATTCAGAAGTTCAATTTGCCAAATAATAATTGTTTGATCTTTTCAAGCTTCTACTTCTTTAATTTTAACTGTTTCTAATAAGAGTTTGGGATACAGCAAATACCCCGTGCATTCTTCCACCCTGTTGAAGACGATGGAACAGATGTACATTGTTCATGTTC